GGAGGTAACTGTAATAGGTGCAGAGATGGGGTGTTGAATTGGGAGTCTGGTGCTAGGCTCTTCCAGACTTTCCTGAGGCTGTGCAAATCATCCTTAAGTTTCTCAGTGGTAATGCAAGTCTGTGTCACAATTTGGAATTATTATTTGCCTTACAAAAGGAGACACTTCAAAATTACTTTAAGTTACTTTATTTGCTTTACATGCTTTTTTGTAGACCCTTTTCATTTATCCAGTGATGGGGCCAAAGATGTCATCACCCTCATTTCACATTGCAAAAAGAAAGGTTATGTGCCTGGCACATAGTGAGTACTCAGTGTGCTGACTGTGATGTCTGCTTATAAACAAATCTGAAAATAGGTAATCCAGCAAGACTATTATTTCCAGTTTAAAAGATTTAGCCATGGAGGGTAGGTGTTTTTGAAATCTTAAGTGTCAATAAGAAATTTACTGAAACAGCTTACATAGTATATCTTAGGGAACACATCTGTTGAATAAGACTAAGTGGACACATGCAGGTAAAATCACATTACAAATAGTGTTCAGAATGGGGGTGGTCACCTGTGCAGTAGCACATAGCCAATAAACTCTAAGCCCCACACCCAGTCTTTGTTAGTGTTCTTTGCAGAGGGCCACACCTCATAGTTCCAAAGAAGTGTTTAGTACCATCTAGGTAGACTGGAGTCCTTGTATTATAGTCCTGCTACCTACTTCACCACAGCTAACTATATCCTGAGAGATATGGTTTAGTGACCCTAGATTGTTAACCTTCTTTTATAAAATAAGAATTTGGACTTGGAGTAGATCTCTCTAAGCTCTACATGTCTGTGACTATCTAAATTACTTAATATGTTTAATGTGTTGGCTGTTTTTGAATTTGAGATGAGCTGGAGCTAATAAGCTTTTCAAATCAAAATCTTAAAAATCCAGCATAATTTTTTAATTTTTAAATTCTTGCTGAAGTACCACACATTGGGTATCCTAGTCTTAGGGGAGCAGTCCTTATCCAAAAAACATGAAGTCCTTTGAATCACACTTGAATGTTTTGCTGTCAGCCCAGCCTTTGACTTCTAGCTGTGATAAACTTGTTTTTCCAGTGATGCAGCTAAGTAACACAAACAAAAGCAACCACAGATTTCAGTCATAAAAACAGGAGCAACTGAAATATAAGCAATACTTTTATGTGAAACTTTTTATAGGTTTTACTATAAGAAAGTTCACTAAGTTTTTTTTTTTAATAGCATCATTAAAGAGGTCAGAATATTGAAAAGAGATCAAACTTGGAATTTGAGAGAAATTATTTTTTGTGGATTTTTTTTATTTGTTTTGGTAATTGAATCCAGGGGTACTCTGCCACTGAACTACAACCCCAGTCATTTTTATTTTTGAGACAGGGTCTCACAGAGTTGCTGAGGCCAGCTTCAAACTTGTGATGTTCCTCCCCCAGTCTTCTGAGTCACTGGAATTATAGCTGTGCATCACTGCACTCAGCTGAAATTATTTTGTAATAAAAACAAAAGCACTGGGCTAAGGATGTAGCTCAGTGGTAGAGTGCTTACCTAGCATGTGTGAAGCCCCTAAGTTCAATTACCAGCACCAAAAAAAAAGTGAATGCATTATAAAAAATGTAATGCAAAAGAGATTTAGGGATTAGATCCCTCATCCTCCATTCCTACTTTTTTTTTTTTTAACGTATTAAGCCTTCTTAAAGCTTTTCTGAATGAGAGAGAATAAGAATACAGTTGCTGGTACAATGTAAATTACAGCTATTAGAAGTTATTCTACCTAAGATCAGTTTTACCCAGAACTTGGACAATTGCTTAATACCATTGCTTAAACTGTAGGTCACCCTAGTAGTTGTATGGTTAGCACCAAAAATTAGACAGCCCTTGTTCAGCTTCCACCTCTATGATGAGAGAGAATGTAGACAGACAGATGGAGGCAAGGGATTCATACCCATTTAAACCCAGAGCCCTTGTGTCCTTCTACAGCATGATGCCTCTTCCATAGAGTAGGAACTTTACTCAGTTCATGTTGAATGAAATCACTAATTTAGAAACTGTCAAAATTCTCAATGATCTAACCTTGAGATTATGGAATGCCTATGCTATTGCTCATTTCAGTACTTAATAGTGCCTGGTCCACCAAAGGTATTCAGTAAAATTTTTGAATGAATAAATACACATTAAATATTATAAGTACCATTATTTGTTTCAGTGTTTTGTTTATGTTAACACAGAATGTATTTTTACTACTTTGATTGAATAGTGATTATAGCTTCAGATGTCCTATGTAATTGGACTTACATGTAGTTGTATTAATTTGAATTAATGGCCGTAAAACTGCTTTTCATTCAGATAAGAGTTCTTGGAACTCTTTGTCTTTATTTCAAGTGTGGACTGTTTAATGCCTGAAAGTTGTTATAGATTTATAGCTTTCTAATGGACTGTGTTATTTAAAAGGAAACTTTAAGATTATCTACTTAGACTTACTTCCTGATGCTTAAGTAAGCATTACCACTGCTGTGACAGCAGTTACTGTTACTTCCATTAACTGATTACCTGCCAAGCACTATACATTTTATATGCCACCTCTGTGAATGCTTATTTTAATGTTATTTGAGGTATTATCCCCACCTTGAAACTAAGGGTGAACTAGGAAAGCAAGTTTCAAAACTCTTTTTTTTTTTAAGAGAGAGAGAGAGAGAATTTTCATATTTATTTTTCAGTTTTCGGTGGACACAACATCTTTGTTTGTATGTGGTGCTGAGGATCGAACCCGGGCCGCACGCATGCCAGGCGCGCTACCGCTTGAGCCACATCCCCAGCCCCAGTTTCAAAACTCTTAGTTAGATTGGAACCCAGGTCTGACTGATTCAAGGCTTGTGCTCATTTCACTGTAATATCCTCAATAACATTTTGCTTCTTCTTTAATTTGGGTGTTTATTATCCTCCAAACAGGTTTGTTTAATTTATGAACAACTCTTATTACTAGAAAGCAATTTTTTTCAATCCTTCTACTTTGTTTTCATTCAGGGTCTCTTCGAAACCTACAAAAATGACTGTACACTAGAAATCTCGCCCTACTTAAATGAGCTTGGGTCCACATTTTTGTAGACTTTTTTTTTTTTTAAACATTTTGAATAAGACTGTATTGTCTGGATTTGTTTTATATAATTCTAATTGTAATAGAATTTTGTACTTTTGTTTACTTCATTCTCCATCCTAAAAAAATTTCTCACTTCTGTTGTCTTCGTTCAAAAATACAGTTTTCGAAAGTCAGTGAATTTTAAGAGTGAATTCTAGGGAGTAGATTATTCACTAAAAATTCCCTTTTTATCAGGCACCCAAATTATAAATAACACATGGATGAGCATCTTTGGCATAAACTGCTTTTGTATTTAGATCCATGGAAAACAGGAGTCCTCATGGTTTTGGTACAGATTTTCAAGTTACAGTGGTTTGAAATAATGTATTAGCAGGTTTTACTACTACATTTACTACTTGATACACCTGATCTGGTTTCCAGAAGGTACAGTGGTTGCCATTTTAAGAAGGCAGCAGATGTCATCACCTTCATTTCACACTACAAAAGCAAAATTATGTGTTTGACACATAGAAGTACTCAGTATGCCATGCATGTATGCTTACAACAAATCTGAAAATATGTAATCCACACTCACATCCCTACCCATGGAACTCTGGCTTTAGGCAGGGAAATAGGAAGGAAGATGTAATTTAGGCCTGTAGGGGGAAAGGGTATGTAATCCATATTTGATTTATGAGGAACAGATAAAAGCAAGTAAGTAAATTTAGATACTCTTAATTACTATAGCAGGGATCAAAGAGTTTTGGGACTGAAGAGCGAACATTTTATTTCTCTGAACAGCTTGTTTAAATGTTCTTTTTAAGTTCAGTAAAATTGCGTAGGAATTTTTTTAGTAGCAGATACATTCTGAACCTTTATGTATACAGATTAAAATTTGAGGATAAAATTGGATCTTATTTAGGCCTGGGGATTTAGGTCAGTGTTAAAGCACCCCTGGGTTCAATCCCTACTACCCAAAACAAAACCAAAAATATACAAAAATAGAATTTTACTTTTCTCCTAGCTTCAAATAGTTATCAACACATAGCCAATCTTGTATCATATATAGTCCCTTCACCCACTTCATTCATCTTGAATATCTCGTTTCATCTACAAACACTTCAATACATATATATAAAAGATAAAGATTTTTTATAGTTATATTATACTTGAGATATAGGCGTACTTTTTAATTTTTTTAAAATAGAACAGTGATTATATTTTTTTAATCATACTAAGTCCTATAATGGTAAAGCATATCTTTTTAAATTAGTTTTACATGACAGTAGAATGCATTTGACACGTCATACATAAAGGGAGTATAAGTTTTCATTCTTCTGATTGTACATTATGTAAAGTTACACTGGTTGTATAATCATATATGCACATACACTCATTTTTAACAATCAAAAAACTCTTATCACACTTAGAAATGAGCAATAGTTCCTTAATGTCAATCATCTAAGAAATTTTTAATAATAATCTGGTTACTAATGTTCAGATTAATCTTTTATTTCTTTTGTTGTTCATTTCCTTTAAGTACTCCATTCTAAATCTTGAAAATTTTCCCATTTTTTTTCTGTTATCTTCATAAATATAGTTTTTGAAAGGCAGTGCATTTTAAGAGTAAAGGGAAAAAGAATGGCATTTTTCCTTTCATATTTAATGTATACATTTTTCCTGCAACCAAAATTAAGGTTTTTGTTTTTGATGACTTTTTTTAATATGGGAAACCTGAATAAATGGCTGTTTTCATTTTCAAACTTAAAAAATTATTCATAATGTTTTACTACATTAGGGTGGAAATTTATTCATACCTTGAATGTAATAGCAGTCAGATAATTCTGAAATAATGATAAAAATTATTTTAATGCTTTTCTTATATCATCTGACTTTAATATTTTTGTTTTACATAGGTCTCTAATTAATAGAAGATGGCAAAACCCAGCCACAGCAGCTACGTCCTTCAGCAGCTAAACAACCAAAGAGAATGGGGTTTTCTCTGTGACTGTTGTATTGCAATTGATGACATTTACTTTCAAGCCCACAAAGCCGTTCTAGCTGCCTGCAGCTCCTATTTTAGAATGTTTTTCATGAACCATCAACATAGTACTGCACAACTGAATCTCAGCAATATGAAAATTAGTGCTGAGTGTTTTGATCTCATTTTGCAATTTATGTATTTAGGAAAAATTATGACAGCTCCCTCCAGTTTTGAGCAGTTTAAAGTGGCAATGAACTATCTACAGCTGTACAATGTTCCTGACTGCTTAGAAGATATACAGGATGCAGATTGTTCTAGTTCAAAATGTTCATCTTCTGCTTCCAGCAAACAGAACAGCAAAATGATATTTGGAGTAAGAATGTATGAAGACACTGTGGCTAGAAATGGAAGTGAAGCCAATAGGTGGTGTGCAGAGCCAAGTTCAACAGTAAATACACCACATAATAGAGAGCCTGATGAAGAATCTTTACAATTAGGTAATTTTCCTGAACCACTATTTGATGTATGTAAAAAAAGTTCTGTGTCCAAATTATCTGCTCCAAAAGAACGTGTATCGCGACGCTTTGGACGGAGTTTTACCTGTGACAGCTGTGGATTTGGCTTTAGTTGTGAAAAATTATTAGATGAGCATGTGTTGACCTGTACTAACAGACATTCATACCAAAACACAAGATCTTACCACCGAATAGTAGATATTAGAGATGAAAAAGACAGTAACATCAAAGCTGAATTTGGTGAAAAGGATTCTTCTAAAACATTTTCTGCACAGACCGACAAATACAGAGGAGACACAAGCCAGGCTCCTGATGATTCAGCTTCAACCACTGGAAACAGGAAAAGTAGCACAGTGGAGTCTGAAATAGCCACTGAAGAAAAAAGCAGAGCTGCTGAGAGGAAAAGAATCATTATCAAGATGGAGCCAGAAGATATTCCTACAGATGAGCTGAAAGATTTTAACATTATTAAAGTTAACGATAAAGACTGTAACGAATCCACTGACAACGATGAATTGGAAGATGAACCCGAAGAGCCATTTTATAGATACTATGTTGAAGAAGACGTCAGCATTAAAAAAAGTGGTAGGAAAACTCTAAAACCTCGGATGTCAATAAATGCTGATGAAAGAGTTGGTTTAGAAAATATGAGACCCCCTAACAACAGCAGTCCAGTTCGAGAGGATACTGAAAATGCATCTTGTGAGCTGTGTGGACTCACAATAACCGAAGAGGACCTGTCATCTCATTACCTAGCCAAACACATTGAAAATATCTGTGCATGTGGTAAATGTGGACAAATACTTGTCAAGGGTAGACAACTTCAGGAACATGCCCAAAGATGTGGAGAACCCCAAGATCTGACAATGAATGGGTTAGGAAATACTGAGGAGAAAATGGACATGGAAGAAAATCCTGATGAGCAGTCTGAAATAAGAGATATGTTTGTTGAAATGTTGGATGATTTTAGGGACAGTCATTACCAGTTAAACAGTATCCAAAAAAAGCAGTTATTTAAGCATTCTGCCTGTCCTTTTCGATGTCCTAACTGTGGCCAGCGTTTTGAAACTGAAAATCTAGTGGTTGAACATATGTCTAGCTGCCTAGACCAAGATATGTTTAAGAGTGCCATCATGGAAGAAAATGAAAGAGATCACAGGCGAAAGCATTTCTGTAATCTGTGTGGAAAAGGATTTTATCAGCGGTGTCATTTAAGAGAACACTATACTGTTCATACTAAGGAAAAACAGTTTGTTTGTCAGACATGTGGAAAGCAGTTTTTAAGAGAACGTCAGTTGCGTCTGCACAATGATATGCACAAAGGCATGGCCAGGTATGTCTGTTCCATTTGTGATCAAGGAAACTTCAGAAAACATGACCATGTACGGCATATGATTTCTCATTTATCTGCTGGTGAGACTATATGCCAGGTCTGCTTTCAGATATTCCCAAATAATGAACAATTGGAGCAGCACATGGATGTTCATCTGTATACATGTGGAATATGTGGAGCAAAATTTAATTTGAGGAAAGATATGAGATCACATTATAATGCCAAGCATTTGAAAAGAACCTAAGTGATTTTTCTACTGTACTAATGTCTAGTTGATAGCAGACAAAACACCAAAGCAAAAAGGATATGAGCTATTTAGAAATTGATTTTATAAGATGAATTGTTTTTAAAAATATTCAAGTCCCTTTTATCTTTAATATTTTTGTTTAGGATATTAAGTTTCTACATTTTAGGCGTTAAAATGTTTTTATCATTTTTTGTTGTTTCTAATAGCATTCTTTGTTTCTAGTTTTCTTAGCTTGGATTAAAATTACTTTTACATGTAGACGATAAGTGGCTGTTACCCCTTCAATGACTATTAAACTTTAGTTTTTTTTATCAATAAGGTGATGACTTCACTATTTTTATGTGTTTTTTTTTTTTAAGGTTATCATGTGAAATTTAAAACCCAATATGATTGGCCATTCCTGTTTAAATTTTAAAAAGTATTTATTTGAAACTGCCCTATTTCATTGTTAGCATTTTTTTCTTTTTCTTTTTTCTTTTCCCAGTTGAACAGTGGGTTAGCTACTGTTTATTCTCCCTTATTATCAATGAAATTCATATTCTTAAATTGACAAGCTTATTAGGCAAGTTAGGTGCACTGAATCTAACCTTTAAGGTTGACATGGGCTCAAACTTGGCCTAAAAAGATTGATGGACCTGAGGAAATTCCTATAAATGAACATTTCCTATAACTGATAAAATATTATCATTTAATAATCACATTAAAAACTTATATTAAGTGTAAATCCCAATGGCTTTCCCTCACTTGAGAAACTTGTGGGGATAAGCCATTTTGTTTTATGATATTAAATTTAACTATGATAGTTAATTAAAAAGACATCTTGTATTCATTAAAAATATTTTTAATTTAAAATATTCTTGATTTTCTAAAGTGTGTTAGTTTACCAATTATTTTTGTTTATAAATAGACTTTAATAGTGCTCTAGAAGTATGACATCTAAAGGAAAATATGATTTAAAATTACATACTTTTGGAACTTTGAGATTCGAGAAAGTTGCCATGTATATTGATAAATCTAATAAAATAAATCAATTATAAATCTGGTTGTTCTATAAAAGTAGAGTGCACAAAAAATGTGTTGTGTTTTATACTAAGATTTGGAGAAAATGTGTCGTGGCAAATTGCAGTTTATCACCATGCTTTATTATTATTTTCTGTAAAGGATACAAAATTTGAGGATTATAAAATAATCAGCATATAAATGGAAATAGTTTATCATTTTCAATTAAAGTAGTTTGTTAGTTGTTATTGACAGAGGGTCTACATCATTTACATGTGAATTAAAACACTGGCAAACCTGACCCACCAATAAACACATCTACTGAATAGAATGCCTATTAATGTGAATTACTTGTAACATAATACCCTTCTTATAATTAAAAGGATTTTAGTTAACTCTCCTATATTTAAAATATAATTTTGTGATTATGAGCAATAGTTTAATGGCATTGCTTTTTGTTCACATCAGATTTTTAAATAAGTAATTTTTATACAGTTTACATAAAAGAACAAGTTGCCAAGAGAATTGAGAGACATATTGGCTAGTAAAGATTTAGTTGAAAGTATTAGAGCAGAGTGAGTACAGAGACTTAGAGGGATATGTTCAAATTGTTGAGGTTAGGAATAGCACAGGAGCCAGGGCAGAATTAATGTGAAGTAGAGAAGCACAAGAAGATAAAACAAGAAATCAAGAATTTTTTTTTTTTTTAAAGCCACACAGTTAACAGAGAATGCAGGAAAAATGAGTTCCCCTTAGTCTTAGATTTAGTTGTTTATCAAATACTTAAATTGGAAATGCAATTTAAAATGAAATATAAGATGCATATATATATATTACTGTTAGGAACTTGATAACCAAAAGCTCTCAGAAAGTAGTGTAAAGAGATAAGATAAACCAAATTTCCTAACTACATGATATCTTAGTGGACATGATCTTCAGGGTCACTTTTTTCTACCCTCATCAAAATTTTTGTTGCAGCGGCTTTCCCCACTATTGGGGTGGGGGGTGGGGAGGGCTTTTTTCTAAATACTACCTCTTTGAAGAAAGGATTATTTATTCCATTGGGGAGGGGTTGTGTGATTTTGTACTTTGCCATGTGCTAACAGCCAACAATTAGCAACCAAATATATAAACATTATCTTAATTTTACATGACACAGATGTTTATAGTTTCACAAAGTCACACCTCATGATGTATTTCTTCTTGTTTCATATGTCACAGGACACACTTGTTTTGGAATTAGCTACAGGGTAGTACAGGCTTCTCCAAGTGGAAAGTATAATTTTCCTTATCAAACAGTTCATTCAAAGGCTATGTGGCTTTTAAAATTAAGGGAAGCTCAGCACAGTGACACATGCCTGTAGTCCTAGTGACTTGGGAGGCTGAGGCAAGAGAATGCAAATTTGAGGCCAACCTCGGCAGTTTAGCAACTTAGTGAGACCCTGTCTCAAAATAAATAAAAAGCACTGGGGATGTAGTTTGGTAGAGCACCCCTGGGTTCAATCCCATATCAAAATAAAACAAAATTAGGGGAAATGAAAAATGCCCAACACCTTAGCCAGACTCAACTTCCTTTCACCTCCATCCTCTGTTAGCATGGAGCCTCTTAAAGAGCTCTAACTCCTTTGCTATTGCTTCTTGCTCTCCTGTGCTGTGAAGAGAATGAAGACTGGAAGTTGTCTGCTGTTCATATAACACACAACTTTAGGCTCCAAATTTTAAAAAAAGGAAAATCTAGATAGATGGAGTAGGATCTTGTTCCCGTTTCATCCTGACACCATTTTGTTTGAAAAGACCTTTTGTTCTTACCACTACCAATTCTTGGATTCCTTTTTTTCTTCCATACTGGGATTAAACCCAGGGGCACTTTACCACTGAGCTATATACCCACCCTTTGTAGTTATTTTGAAGCAGGGTCTCACCAAGTTGCCCAGGCAGACTTTGAACTTGTCATCCTACTGCCTCAGCCTCCTGAGTAGCTGGGATAACAGATATGCACCACTGTGCCTGGCTAGTTTTTTGGATTTCTTTATGTATAATGAGCAATCCCAGACTAAATTTTTTATCTTGTGGCGCTAGTGATCAAACCCAGTGCCTTGCGAGACATGTTAGGCAAGTGCTCTAACACTAAGCTACATCCTCAGGCCTATTTTTTCTAAAAAGCAAGAAATCCTGGCGGAATAGTCAGCTTTTAACAAACTTGCCACTAATTACAGTGCAATTTGGATGTTCTATAACTTTTTAGTAAATAAGACCCTCACACCCAGAGATTAATAAAACATAGCCAAGGCCATAGTAGATTAGGATTCAGAAGTTTGTCTTAATTTACCATATTATTAAAGTAAAAATATTCAGAGAAAGGAGCCATATGAGTAAACTGGTATTTGGCAAATGTTTAATTACTACAAAGTAATTAACAGTTTGACTATGGACAAAAATTAAGTTAGAAAAAAATCTTCCAGAGGGGCTAGTTACAATAATAAGAATTAAAATAAGGATGGTGTTTGCTAGAGCTGACACTAGTTAAAAGGAAAAATAATGGACAAGAAAGATGTTGTACTGTAATTAAAAGCAAAAAAATATGAATAGGATATAAAAATTGAAGTAAATAAAACATTTGAAGATTATAGGTGAGATGAATAGAGATTAAAATAAATTGATTAGATTAAAATAATTATAGGCTGCCTAACTGAATAAGAGTGATGAACATATCAAGGCTATGCCTGAATACTTGAGATACTTTTATATTCTAAACAATGGGAAGAGGCTGGTGATAGCTGGCAACTTCTCACTGGTAACACGATACTCAATCCTCTATATCACTACGAAACTTTTCCTACTTAATGCATCTCTGGAAAATCTGCCAAAGAACCAGTGTAATAGTTGTTAATATTTAAGTATAAAACTTGTCATTAACAAAAAGCTAAATAAGTACCAACAGAAAAAAACCTGGATATGTCTGTGCATACATAGTTAAGAATAAAGAAATTTGGTATATCTAATTTAACTGAGTTTTATCATGAATTAAAATTGAAAAATTTTTTTTCCATTAATCTGTTTTGATCAGTCAACTTTCCTCACCATCCCCTTCTCCGTTGTAATTAATGCTTCCCAGGGATAAAATGCTAGTGCTCTGAAGGCATCCTCGCATCAACAACTTCTAGCATTGCAGAGCACCAAAAAGCTGTGGGAAAACATATCCTTGTAAGATCCTCCCTATATCCTTAATGTCTGAGGGTGATAGGTTGGATGGTAGGAAACTCAAGCAAGTGGAATTATATTTGGTGTTTAGAACTTGAAGCTACATCACAGATTTGGAAATCCATTATCCATTCAAAATAGGGTTCTCAGTAATCCCAGTATCTATTTATTTAGGGCTATATACTCAAATGCTTTACATACATAATTTTAATTAAGCCTCACAGTCTTTTGAGGTAAGTATCATACTAATTTTCTAGACAGGGGACCCAGGTCCAGAAGGGCTGAGTATTTTTCCTAAAATCACATAGAAACTGTATTAGACCTGGAGTTTGAATCTAGACCCAACTTTGCCTACATTACTATACTTAACCACTAAGCTACTTGCTCCACCTATCAAGAAGTACAAAGATGGGCCTTTTCAGGCTCATGTGATAAAGGTCCTGTGAGGCTGTGCTCCTTGTTCATCTCATCTGCAATGCCTGGTAAGGGGGCTAGTAATGGTACCTAATGAACATTCTGAGTAATGTGAAAATATGAGAATGGAAAACAAAATTTTATTTGAATGAGTCATTCAGAATGATGTTTTAGAAATAAATATTAAATGCTGATATGTTTTGATTTTCTTTCATTAAAACTTGGAACATTTAGTGGTATGTCAGCCATTTGTGGGGGCCTGTGGTAGAAATCAATTAAAAATTACTTTGAATTCAACTTCTACATTTCTATGTCTGTGACTCCCCCCCCCCCTTTTTTCTCTATTGCTGTCCTTTGTTTTAATCTCTTCCATCAATCTCCATTTCCTTTTATTTGTTTTGACACTGATGAGTTAAGAACTCATTTGAAAACAAATGCTCCCAAGAAAAAGCAGAATGACAGAATAACCAGTTTCCTCTTTTTGCCTTAACAGATGATGTGGATAAGAAAGTCATCATTTCTTTGATCAAAAAACAGAACACCCCTGAAAAGGGAGATACTGAGGGATGAAATTTACCAAATTATATTGTGTGCATATACAAATATGTAACAATGAATCCCACTATTATGTACAATTGTAATGCACCAATAAAAAATATGAAAAAAAAAACCTCTCCCATTACTGTATTGTGATTGCTAAGATTTATAAAGCAATCAAAGTTTGCTTAAAAACAAAAATTGGAGGGCTGCGGATATGGCTTAGAGGTATAGCCCCTGCCTAGCATGCTTGAGGCCCTGAGTTCAATCCCCAGCATAGCCAAAAAAGAAAAGAAGAAACAAAAGTTGGTTATTCTAGAGTGTATAATTCAACTTATGAAAGCATAGATTTTAGGTGAACTTACATAGTCTTATAAAAGAGGAAAAATAATTTCAGGAAATGACAGCTTGCATAACCACCCTAACCTAGTAGCAAATTTAAACATTTAAGTGAAACAACCCCTCCAATCTGATTCTAACTTCTGCATCTACCTGATTTCTATACAATAGTTTCCATGCTACTACTAGAATGATTTAACTACCATCTATCTGTCAAACATTTTTTTCAAGTAAGAAGATTGAATTGCAGATGATTCTGTGAATGTCTATATAATCATTTAAGTGGCCTGCTTTTCACTGCTGTCAAATTCAAGGACAGATCATTTGGTAACATGGGTGTAGTCTCAAAAACCAGATGAAAGTTAACTATAAGTTTATATGAAAGGCAAGAGGCAAAAATGGAGTTTAGAATGTTTGTGTCTGTAACTGACAATTAGTAAATATAAACTAAATAACAGCTTGTAAATTCAAGCTAATTGTGAACCAGTGTAATATTGCTTACATATTTATGTACATACACTTAGTAGAATTCAGCATTAAGTTTAAATCCTACTTAAGCTATTCCCTTAATGTATTTAGGAGAACCAAATCATTGCGGCCATTCAATAGTGACTAAATTGTTCTATCAGAATCCACACAGATCACTAGGGGGCAGGAAACTATTATAATATCTTAATATCCTACTCAATGAACTGACCAAAAAAAGGTGATGTAAAGATTACTTGGCTCTGAATTGAATAGTCAGTGTACTAATCATCATTGTACTAAGTAAGAAATCATACAATAGCTCAGAGTCAAAGAATGACAAATTTTTTAAAAACATGATTTCATGTCAGCCAG